TAATTTAAACTCAAAGTACAGCTTAATTTGATGGGAAAAAAACCAAAATAGCACTCTTAGAGCCTTAAAAAACTCTAAATAGCAGTGTTATATGTTTTGTACCTTTGATTCCGATTTTGTCCTTTATTTAAACAACAAATATTCATTACACACTGCAAAAAATATAACTATTTTGGGCAGTGTGGTTGTTCACTTGTAACTGTGTAGTGGGCATGCAATGTAGTTTTTTATATGTGAGTATTTAATGTGCCAATGTAGAATGGATATATGTTGTTATATCTTACGGCAGTGTGAAATTATTGTGTTCCTTAATTTCATGTTGGAGTGTAATGTCTATCGTTTTATGAGACAGTGTTTTCATATATAAATTCCACACTGTAAAAAAGTGTATAACTGTTTTCATGTATGAATTTCTACTGCCCAAAAAATGTATAGTTCTTTTTATGTATGAATTCCACACTGTTGTCATGTATGAATTCCATACTGCGAAAAATGTGTATGACTATTTCCATGTGTGAATTTTACACTGCTTAAAAATGTATGACTGATTTCATGAATAATCTATTACACCAATACACACGAGCCAAACATGGGCGTTAAATATAGAACTTAATTTAATATGTAAGAACCTGTTTAGAAATTTTACATTGATAAACTGCGTAGGAGGAGGATCTTGCAGAGCTATGATAAACGACGTAGGATGATGTTCTCGTACGTATGAGACGCACGAATAAGGAGGAGCCGCACGTATGAGGGAGAGTGGCTAAGTGAATAACTTAAGTTTAATCAAATAATTAAAAGTAAGTAAACATGGTAGAATATAATAAAAGGTAGATGGCATGCTTGGAAGATATTAACACTATAAATAGTTATATTCGTATAAAAGATTAAAGAGTGCTATATGCGTAACATTGAGTGACTTAGAGTGCTACGTAGGGTGATTTCTTTAATTTGATTTTAAAAATTGGAAACGGATACGGATATATCCGATATTCGACGGATGCGGATCCGGTTTTGATTTTGAGTATCCGTCAAGATCCGTATCCGAATTTGATATCCGACAAAAATAAACGGATACGAATTTGATAATGACCATCCGATTTGATCCGATTAGTATCTGTTTATCCCCTACATAAAATATGTTTGTTAATTTTGTTGATTAAATTTTTAACAATGTATATATTCCCATGCAGTGACACAACACAAATTGTTCCATGCATGTAGTAGTACTCCATGCCACTATTAGCTAGTTTCGGTGCAGATGAATTTTGAAAAGTATAAAAATTTAAAAATATCGAGATTATATTCGTTTTATTGTTATTGTTGTTGTTTAACTTTGAAAATAAAATGATGTACAAAAAACTACGAGTTAAATAATTTTGACATCAAGGTTGACACCATCAGACTACTTTCGAACGAATAGTAATCGCCAGTGAGAATTTATTAATTTTATGCAATTCAATAAACGTGATATAAAACGCATTAGTAGATTATATACTAATAAAAATGTTGTTATGTTAAAAAAATGTTTTGCAAAAAAGCCATATATATGTATGTGTATATATATATATATATATATATATATATATATATATATAATTATTGTAATTTATTATTGTTGGTCTCCCCAACAAAGAAAATCAAAATTCAGATAAGCCTATTAGATTAGTGTAATGTTTAATTTACTCCCTATTTAGAGCATCTCCAATCATTGAGTTTTGAATTGTTAAATGTCATTATTTGGCAATCTATTTCAATTTTTGTGCTCCAAGGGTCTTGCTATATTATAGCACACTTGGTAAATTCTAACTTTGGTTTGCTATATATAGCAAGACTCTCAAAATATAGCAAACCATGATATTGATTAAATATTTAATTTTTTTCTCATTTCCATTCTCAAAATATTTGGTTACTTCTACTCTCTAATTTTTTACTTTTTGTAAAGTTTTTTCTCTAATCTTTAATTGGAATTTATTAAATATTTAAAATAATGCTATGTAAATTTTATTATTTTCTTTAAAGTAAAATATTACTCCATATTTTTTTTTGAAATTATTATTTTTAAATTACATACTGATTGCTTGATTTTTATAATATAAAATAATAATTGAATAATTATTATAAAGAGTATTATAATAGTGAAAGCAATATAATATAACTGTTAGCTAAATTATAGCAATGGAAGGTTAAAGATGACAATGTAAAATGGCTTGCTATACTACTATTTATATGCTAAAAAATGACTTTAGCAAGCCAAAAGTCTGGTTGGAGATGCTCTAAAAAAGGAAAGAGAGACGACGTTAGTTAGTTATTATGCTTTTCACATTTTTCTTAGTTACGAAGGCTCCAAGTGCAATCATGCTTTAATTTGGGTGGTTATCCTATTATTTGAGTGCTCTTCTTTTTCTCCACTAATTTAATTACCCTCCATTCCTTTATTTACTTTAGCCAATCCGCGAAATAGAGAGGAGGCCAGGGGTGCTTGGTGGGGTGGGCAGGTAGGGGAAATGTTAAGAGTGTATAAATCATCAATTTTATGAACGGAGCACCGTTAGTGACTCGAGTCATAATATGACCCAAGGTTCCAAGGTTAAAAGTACCGTTGAGATTTATATGTAAGTATACACAATAGAAAAAGATATTCCTGGATACGTTTTAAAATGAACACACACACAAGGGTATATCATAAGACTATAATTTTTTAAAAAAATTTGTGTGGATTCCCCATTAACTTTAAAATTTGTGAGAGTGTTCCAAAACTTTTAAAAATGTTCCATCAATGGTTCCTCTGCGTCAGACTTAGGAGTACGTTAATCACATGCTCATTATATTAAGTGGAAGTATAAATTTATCTAAAGTCATATAGTAATGCTAGATTTACAAACAAAATACTCACAAAATGCACAAACTTACCATTTGTGTATTTTAGTTTTTATTTTTTAATTATTTGAGACTATTATTTGAACTCATTACTTTACATATTCGGAAAATTTAAGAATTTTTTGAATGTTTAATTTGTTTGTGACTCTAACATTACTCAAAGTCATTTATCACACGTAAGTTGTGCAATATGTCATTCCCAAAAATTTTCTTCTATAATTTTAACTTTCTTGAAACTCTAGATAATTATTCTCGATTTAGCCCTCGATAACCGAATTCCAAGGCTGGACATCACTCGATAAACTTCTTCATCAATCGATCAATCTCTTCTTCAAATCATGGCATCTTCATCAAGCTCGAACATGTATTTTGATAAACACATGATTAGCGCACTCTCAAACCTGGCGCCGAAAAAGTATTAGTGCAATATTTTTAAAAATTCAGAAGACATTGGTACAATTTGTAAAGTTCAAGGGAATACGTGCAAATTTTGGAAAGTTCAGGAGTAAACATCACAAGATCGAAACTCTTTTTCTATATATCGTGGGAAGGTTAAAAAACACTGATCAAGAAGTACAGAGATAGTAACTTATAAAGAAATATTTACACTGAATAGCACTAAAACTTAAGTTATTTTTCTAAATAGCACTTAAATTGTTTTAATCCCTAAATAACACTTTATAATGTCCAGTGATGACAAACATTTACTTGAATAATGACTAATGGATAATGACTAAAAGTGCTACATTAAGAAAAAATACATGTGATGCTATTCAGGGAAAATCATTATGTTTTAGTGTTATTTAAGTAAATTCACCACTTTTAAAATTATTCTCCAATTATCTCAAAAAAATTAAAATATAATTAAATGACAATATGCGTATACTCACAATTCACAAAAGGTAGATAAATGGGTATTTTACAAAGAGAAGGGGAGAATCAAATCTTTGTTTTTCGTTCATGAATCATGGATGTCGATATAAATGTATTATTAACTCAAAACATATAAATGAGCATATTCTCAAGAATATTTAGGCACATATATATAGCCCGCCATTGCATAATATATACTCCCTCCGTCCCAAAAAGATTTTTCTGTTTCATTTTTTGCGCATCCTATAAAACACTTCTATACACATCTAAAATGCCTAAAATTTACCACATTTCTCATTTATTGTAAGTAGAAGTTGTTCTGAAAGTTTTTTTTGCATTTGAGGCGGGATAGAAGTGTTTTATGAGACGTGCAAAAAATGAAATAGGAAGATCTTTTTGAGAGGGAGGGAGTATATAACAATAATACAATGAAAAGAAGATACTCCGATCAGTAAATGAAAAATAAAATACTCCCTCCCCTTTAAAAGAATTTTACATTTGGTTTTTTTATTATCAAACTTTACAAAATTTGACCACAATTTATAAAAAAATATTCATGTAAACTTAATACTCCGTATACTTGGCTCCGATACCATGATAGAATTTAAGATGAAGTAAGGATAACTGGATTGAATAATAAGATGCTTGAGCGAAATTACATTAAAAGATTGAATCCAATCAATTAGTTAGTTCAACTCAAGAGCTTATATACGGAGTATTTTACTCTTGGATTTCCGATCTTGAATGACACTCTAACATTATGTATAAATTTAATTATTGATGATCAAAGCGAGTTTAATTGTAGACGGTTGAAAGTCAAATACTCTTGGATTTCCGATCTTGAATGACACTCTAACATTATGTATAAATTTAATTATTGATGATCAAAGCGAGTTTAATTGTAGACGGTTGCGCGTTACAATGTTTGACTGAAGTTATTTTCAAATCATTTTATGTGAAAAATCGTATGAAATTTAAAAATAAAAATTACATATTTAAAAACTATATGAGAAGATCTATAAAACTTGTGGCGACATGACTATATTATTTTATCAAATAAGACACGAAAATTGACTAACTAAGTAAATAAGATCTGATCCTGTAATAGTAAACAAAAATTTTATTCTTGGAGGGAGGTAACAGTAAATGGGAGGCTATATGCCTATATATTTTAACTCCCTTCCCACTCCCCATTTCCATTTGAGAGCTAAACTAATCAAATAACTTGCCAAACAGAGCCTCTTTCTATCCTCTTAGTTTTCTAATTCTTAGCTTCAGCTTTTTAACTGCATGATCTTTCTTTTATTACTCTTCAATATGATTATTAAAACCCAGAATTTATCTTTTCTCAGAGTGTTCCCAGACAGGTTTTTGATCCAGAAATCGAGCTAGAAATCAATAATTTAATATCCCCTCATATATAATATAATTCCTACTCCACTGATCATTTTCCGGCAAGTAAAAAAAATGATTCCGGACAACCTTAAGACGAAGAAGAAGAAGAAGAATCACAAGTTACACAAGATGCACTTGATCGCCGCCGTGGCTTTCCGGTTGGTTGAGCTCTGCATGTTTCTTACCGTTTTCTGGCGATTTTCCGGCCACTTGAGCGCCGGCGTTGCCAAACTCTCCGGCGGGTACTTCATCAAGACACTCTCGGGCACGTTGATCAGCCCAAGGTTCGTGTTCCTCGTCGGAAACGCCATATTCCTCGTCTTGGTCCGCCGGTCCGGCCAGGAAAAACAGGGGTCCGGCGAGAACCTCGATTTGTACGAGGAACATCTGAAGCAATCTGGGAAGAATCAAGAATTTTGGCATGGAGAACAGGGGACGAAGAAGAAGAAACAGGGGAATTGTAAAATGCAGAGGAGCCGATCGGAGGAGGGGAGGAAGAGGGGAGGAGGATATGAGGAGCTGAGAAGGTCGGCGACGGTAAGCCGCCGGAAAAGAGAGGCCGGAGCTCCGGCGGCGGCGGCAGCCACCGAGGAAATGAGCAGTGAAGAATTTAGACGAAAAGTTGAGGATTTCATTGCAAAGCAACGGATGGCTTTGATGGAAGAAGAGTGCTCATATATGCATAGCTAGTGTTTGTAAATACTCGGTAGTAAAAAATGAGCAAATTAGTGACATTTACTAATTACTACTTACTACTATAATTACCTTCATGTAAAAAGAGAAGAAAAATAAATATTTTTCCTCCTTTTTTTGCCTTGAGAGTTAATTTTTTTGGACATTATTTTGTACTCCCTCCGTCCCAAATTATAATGCATGTTTACTATTCACAAGGTCAAACTTCATTCACTTTCTTTCTCTATTTTCGTTAGCAATTTGATAAAATAAAATATTCTTGTCACTACTAGTTTTGTAGACCTTTTGATGTAGTTTTTTAATATGTAATTTTTATTTTTTAATTCTATACCATTTGTCATATAAAATGATTTGAAAATAATTTCAATCAAACATCGTAAACCGAAACAGACGTTATAAAATGGGACGGAGGTAGTATGTATAAGAGTCATTTCATACTAAAAGTTAGCTCTTAACACTAATCGTCTTATTATTACTAGTATCACACTCGTGCAAATTCAAACTTAAAATGTTCCAATTTGTGAGCATTCACTAATACACTCGTTCCACTTTTTTTGGAGACGTAGGAGTTACAAAAAATTAAGATACATAAGATTATATATGGTTGACATTAATATCAAAAAGTAAGATAAAATAAGAAAATGTAAATCACACAAATATGATCAAATATGGTACAAGACAAAAATGATTAAATATTTAAATGAACGAAGAAGCCAAAGAAGAAGCAGAGATTGAAATGTGGAGATGAAAATTGATAAGCATTAAAATACACGTGTTTAGAAGGATTGTAAAATTGAAAATGTTAAACCTAAAGATTTTACGGAGTATAAGTTAGTTTTAAAAAACATTGTGTAAGTCTTACGAAATATAAATAGCAAAATAATTGATTTCCAGAGAACTCGTATCTTGTTTGCTCGCCCAAGCCCTCAGTCTTCAATATTAGGTTTACTATTTTCATCAGTTTCAAATCTTCTTCCATCATATATCCCCCGATAAAGTCACAGATTCACTACTTTTAAACTTTGGGGTATGATAAAATAAAACAAAATGACTCTTTAAACTATATGCGCTTCTTTTACAGTGAAGTACAATAACATTTAGTCAATGCAACTCTCATTGCTCACCATGGGTCAATCGAAAACAATCTGCTCTATGTTTTAAACATAGAGGTCAGCTTGCTTACACCCGACCCCCCTTACTCCGCAATGGGCGGGAGAGCCTTTGAGGCATTGGCTGATGTTTTTTATTTATGATAATTTGGGTGAATAGCCAACGCTCATCAAAATACAAACCAAACAAGCATAAGTATGCAATACTCTCTAAAGCAAGAACATCTTCATATATAACATGGGCACAAGTGTAAAATTGACAGTAGAATGTCTTGATTTCAGTAAATGAAAGGGTGATTTGAGGGGAAGCTAAAAAAATGAAGTCCCCAATAGTTAGGAATAAAAGCATACGAAAACAACACATTCTAAATCCCTTTAGAATGACCGAGTGTCACCGCAGAACTAAAGGATTGTGAGTCCCTACTATTTTACTACCATTACCTGCAAAAGTTAAAAAAAATTACTTCAGCAAGAGAGTGTGGTTAAGAGTTATTTCGTGGGCAGAGAGCCGTAGAGGAACAATATCAAACACAGTACTACAGACGAAACAAGAGATCCCAAAAGACTAGCCTTTTAGTTTAGAGAGCTAATTTGGTTTATAAACCCCTATATCTTGATAGGTATAAGACCAAATAGGAGAATTCATCCCAAAAGACTAGCCTTTTCAGTTAGAGAGCCCATTTGGTCTACAAAAACCTCACCCGGTTCCCACACAACCAGTGTGGGACGAGTCCGTAACAAGTACTTAAAAGGAACGGTAGAACAGGGACAGAAAAAAATGAAAATAAAACAGGGAGAGGACCGTAAAAACCTGTCAGAATGTATAAAACCATGTGGGGGAGAATCTCATGTTTATTCACCCCAAATAGAATCGGGAACTATTTTAAATGGCCATCTTCATTTCTATTTTCTGGTGAGGGTCATAGCCAATCAGCTTAATGTCATCAGCACTGAAGGACTCTATGTCCTGCTTCTCAGGGTTGATCTTCAGTATCTACAACAATGTAAATCAACACGAAACAAAATAAAGCTCATTCGTGTTTGGATTCATCCCTTGAGCTTTGGACAAATTACCAAATGACCCTTGAGATTTATAAAAATCAAACATATACGCAACTTGATCAGTTAGCTTTTCTATAAATAATCCTTCTTTTTAACACCAAAAAATCATAGATTATACTCCCTCCATCCTCGAATGAAGTTCATTTTTTGACTTCAAGCTAGAAACTTTTATATGTTAACTTTCCAAATATGCCACAGTTAAATTAAACTTTTCTTGTGGATATTATAAGAGGTTAGGGGTAGAGTGTTGTTTGTCATTCCCAATATTTAATATTGTATCACCTAATATGGAAGTGCGAACTTAATTTTGGAAAAATCCGAAAAAAGGAAGTGACAACTTAAGTGGGGGACGAGGGAGTATGATATAACAAGAATCAAGAGTTAGGTGTCTTCAGGCTGATTTTGTTGTTTCAAAAAGCTTTTACCAACTGAAATATTTAAAACTTCTACATATTATCATCTTTCAGTCAATGCTTACTGGGAAAGGCCTAGGTAACTTCTGAAGCTGATCCTGTAGAGGTCTGACATGAGTTTTGTAAACATGAGCATCTCCAATGACATGGACAAATTCACCAGGAGAAAGGCCTATATGAAATTGAGAACCATAAGGCACTTGTAATGGGCAACACACCAAAAAGTTACATATGAAGCGGTGACAATATGGCGTATGCCATTAAAATATGTGAAATTTGCACTAAATAGGACTAAAACATAAGTTATTTCCTAATGTAGGACTTAAACTTTTTTATTCTCTAAATAGGACTTAATAATGACTAGTGAGAAGAATAATGTCCAGGGGATGCTGGACATTTAAGTGAATAATGACTAATAGATAATGACCAAAGGTCCTACATTGGGAAATAAAAACATATGGTTTTACATTGAGAAAGTCATTATGTTTTAGTCCTATTTAGGTAAATTACCCAAAAAAATTCAACCAAATTTGATTATATTTGTAATATCTAAGGTAAAGCCAAAAAATAATATTTAAAAAGCAACTTTCCCCATTTTCTCAACAATTTTCCAAGTTCCACACATTCCAAAAGTGTTGCTAATGCAAATACAAACCCCGATAAACATACCGGAAACATGGGCCATCATGCAGGTCAAAAGGGAGTAAGAAGCAATGTTAAATGGCACTCCAAGACCCATATCAGCAGACCGTTGGTGCATTTGACATGATAACTCACCATTGGCCACATAAAACTGCAAAGGAAAGATAATGCAATTGAGAAACTGAATGAGTTACACTTTCATTCCAACAAACATTACTTTTATACTAACTTCTGCAAACATGTGGCAAGGAGGAAGTGCCATCAATTTGAGATCAGAAGGGTTCCAAGCAGAAAGAATAATACGCCTATCATTTGGATTGTATTTAATCTTGTTGATAACATCCAGAAGTTGATCAAATCCTTGGCCAGTGTAGTCAGCATGCATGTTTGTATACCTGCATAATGAAAGTCTGCTGTCACAAATAGATCTCCCCACCAAAAATAGGTCAAACTACATTAAAAGCTCACGTGGCACCGAAGTGTCTCCACTGGAATCCATATATTGGTCCTAAGTCACCCTCTTCTCTATCCTCTAAACCAATACTGCAGTTAAAAACACATTAAATGCTAAATATGGTTTTTTTTAAAGAGATATCTTTGCTATATACAGAATAATTGAATAACACAGGTATGACCAACCTATCAAGGTAGTCTCTTGATGCATTTCCATCCCATATATGAATGCCCTTCTCTTGTAAGATCTGGAATTTTAAAAAATATTTACAGAAAGATTTCATCGACAGCAACGCCCAGAAACATAACAGAGAAAATATTATTACTTTTGCATTTGTAGAACCACTTATGAACCATAGGAGTTCTTCAACAACACCTCGCCAAAATACTTTCTGCAACCCAAAATAGACCATAGCAAAATAGTGTGCTAATTGAAGGAACGTGAAACAAAATGAATGTTAAGCTTGAAGTTGCAAACTAAATTGAATGTCAAGAGTATACCTTTGTTGTAAGAAGTGGAAAGGATTTCCGTAGATTGAACCGCATCTTCATATGATAATTTTAAAAAAAGTCAAACCACAGAAAAAAAACACTGATGTTGACAAAGAAATAATTATTTATTCAGATGCATCGTTTCATGAGTAAACATGCAATAGCTTATTCTCTGACTACCTGGCAACCAAACTTTGACAGTGTACCAGTTCCAGTCCTGTCATCCTTAGAGACACCATTGTTTATGATGTCCTCAACCAGCCTCAGATACAAGTACTCTTCATGCTTCTCAAAAATCATCTTAGGCAAGAAAGAGAATGTTTTCACCTCAGACTTTGCAACATCTGATCCGCTATCAAGATTGAGAACATTATTTGAAGTAAGGGAGTCAGCTTCAGGACTTCTCACACGAACATAAGTGGTGAAAGAAAATCGAATCTTGTTTTCTTCCAAAGGGATTGATGTGCACCAGGGCTGAAATGCAGTCATATCAATAGCTGGCATGAAAGTATCACAGTCAATGTCTGCCTCAACCTCAGTAATATGAACAGCCTCACATTTATCGGCATTAAGAGCCTCCCTGAAATTTTACATGCAGCACTGCAGAAAATTAACAAAAGAAAGAGAAAAAAAGTACTAGTTTACAAGAAAAGAACTAGCAAACCAATGCAAATTTATACTAACCGGAAAATCTCACCACCACCAATGACAAAGACTTTTTCGATCGATAGATAATAAGGAGAAGATGCCAACAGTTGCAAAGCAGATCCTAAACTGCTGCAAATCACAACGTTCTCTGAAGTGGCAATGTCAAAACTGCCAGAGCGAGTAAGGACAACATTCAGGCGGCCACGGAGAGGGCGATGATCCACAGGAATACTTTCCCAAGTCTTTCTGCCCATGACAACAGCATTCTTTTTACTAGGGTCAGCTGTTGTTACGGTAACCTCTTTGAAGAACTTCAAATCAGATGGTAGTTTCCAAGGTAATTTTCCATCCTTGCCAATACCCCAATTGCGAGTGGCAGCAACTACAATCTGGTAGGTCCTCTGCGGATCAGACTGCACATTGACATTGCCATTAGAAATGCCAGTCCCAGAGTCACCAGCCATGACAGAATAAGATGTCCGTAAGAGTCCTAAAGGTAAAGAGTTGAACTTGAGCTCACTCCAGAAGCTTTGGATGAAGCGTGACAGACCCTGAAAATGGCCAGCATGATTACATCAAACAAAACCATTGGACACCCAACTAAACAATACTTCTTCCCCCATTAATAAACATGATATGATCATTTGCTACAAAAAAAAATAGTCAAGAAACCTCTTGTTTTACATACTTTTGATTTTTAAATTCACAACAACAACCTAGTTAAATCCCACAAAAGAAATTTCATAGCAACATTTAAAATAATTAAATTGAAAATAACTGCAACCAAATGTAGTACCCCAAAATGTGAAGATTAAACAGCGACGAAGGGAGTACTAATTGAGGAAATTGAGCCAAAAAATTGAGAAAATTGACCACGCTTAGTTAGTTAGTTGAACTATGATTTAACATTAATGACACAGAAGTCCTTAAGGCAACAAGACAACATGTTCACCACCATCTTTATGCGTTGAAGTAGCGTTACAAAGCATTCTTCTTATCTTTACAAAAATCTCAATTCTCTATGGTAGTGTTTGGGAGCTAGTCATTCATTTCAATTCTTGCATTTCATTTCCACATTTTGAATTCTTGGATTTCAAATAACAAGCAGAGACATGGATTTGGAGATTTGCAATGGAGCTTTCTAAAAAATCAGAAGAATTTGGCTCAAATCCAAATATGAATTTTTATGATTTTCTAAACATAGAATTTGAGCTAAATCCTGATCAGAAATTCAAATTCCAGTTCCCAAACATGCCGTAAATTCGTTGCGCACAGCAAAATACATCAAACCAAATAGGCACTGTTTTTCTTATAACTTGATATATTTATAAGCCTCGTGATGTTTCAATTAAAATTACAGTGCGGGGTGGGATTTGCACAGAGCATTATATAATACTGCAAACCACTTTGGAATTAAAGGGATGATGAAAAACTGGAAATCGCTAGCGCTCTCACCCCATGAATTGAACTAAAATTGTTCACTCTTCCCACACCAGCAACCCAGCATCTCTGCATTAATTAAAATCCCTTTTTCCGGCAGAATTTAAAAGAAAAAACTGACAAATAAAGCCGATTTCTTACTGAAATAATAACATTAAAAAAAATTAAAACAGCAACACTTTAATGCAATGGAGATTGAAGACTCTCTGCTATATAATAATACTGACAAACAACGAAGATTCTTTGAATTAAAAATTTTAAAAAAAAAAATCGAAACCATATATCTAAAAAAATTACTCCCTCCTTCCAAGTTGAAACTTCACTTGGCACGGGTTTTAATGTGGAATGAAAAAGATGATAAGTTTCCACTTTTGCCCTTTCCCCTATGGCTCACTCTTCTTCGTCCAACACTCCAACCTACCTGCTGGCACGTCAAATCAATTCATCTTCTTCAAAATAAAAAGAATCCATACAAAAATTAAATCCAAGAAATTAAATTGAAAAAGATCTGACCAAAAACTTGAATTGAAAGAGATCTAAAAAAGAAATTAATTTGAAATGGATTTGAACCAAGAAAAACAAATCTCACCCTAGATCCACGAAAAAACCCCCAAATTGGTCCTGCCAGCCATTAAAGAAGAAGAGGAAGAAATGAGGGAAAAAAGTTTTTCATTGCCCTACTAGAAAAATTTGGGAAGAGGATGGACGGAGGGACATTGACCGGAATTCTGAAAGCTTTGTCGTTGTCTTGTTGCCGACGCTCTTTTACCGATCTAGATAGCCAAAAGAACAAAATCTGTGACACCACTCGTACGCCGCCACCTGAGGGTCGCCGCCCTTTCAAAACTGCCTAAGGATTGCCGCCCTTCCACCGCTGCCAACACACTGGTAAGAGGGGAAGGTGAGGCGGTGAAGAAAAGGAGAGGGGTGGGGGATGACTATGAAGATGAGAGGTGGGGGCTGATGGAAACGAAGAAGGAGATCTGATGCGGAAGAGTGGTTTGGGAGGAAGAAGAAGGAGATCTGTAACAACCTTTTCAAAAAGCTAACTCTAAGAATTTGACAATGTTAAAAAGCTGAAGCATGGAAGACTGAAGAAGGAAAGCGTAGAAAATGAAACACACCTGAAGACGACGGATAAGGAAGCCAGTTCAGAGTGGACTTGCGGGGAGTTTTTCTAGCCATTTTTCTAGGAAGAGTAAATGGGTTGGAAGAACTTTTTTTTTTAAACCGGGTTGGAAGAACTTGGGCCCAAATAGATGTGAAGATTCGACTTATATGTTTTTCGCCCCACATTTGAATATCTCTTTCATACTCCGTATTTTTTTCTGAATATTATCTTTACTCCGTTATAATGTACTATGTGTTCATACTTTAATGACGCTCAAAAAGTCAATACTTCTATCGCCGTTGGGACTCGAACCTAAGTAAACTTTTCGAATCTTGGAAAATGAACTTCATACCACTTAAGTTAGGAAAATGTCACTCTTCATTATCGATCGAGTTAAATTTCACATTATTTACTTATTTATTTTCTGATATCATTTATATTGTATTTTGAAGGTTAGCGGAATAATAAATCAAATTGAAACTAATTCTATTCAAATATCGTTAATGGTAAAGTGACATCCTGTGTGGGATGGGATGAGTAGTATTACTAAATGAATTAGTGAGGTAGTTTAATACTCTGTATTTAACATTGGATTGAAAATTAAAGTGAAATCTATTATAAGACGATTATTACTCAAACAATTAGTGACTAACTTGTTATCAATGTTACTCCATAGATTATTTTAGTTCTCATTGTAATTTAGGCAGCGTCCTGATCAACTTAATTACTTTTTTTGTTTATTACTTATTCTTATTATAATTAGATTAGATCAGAAATAATTTTAATTATAATTGCAATCAGATTAAATCAGACTACAAACACAAATCCTTTTTTAGTAGGAATGCAATCTTGGAGGGTGTATTTTATTATCTTCACTCCAATATATTTTGTCTATTTAAACTTTTTAAAATTAAATTGATCAAACTTTGAGTTCTATTAGATATAATAAAATATAATCTTGAAAATTCTCAATAAAATAAATCTAAGAGTCAAATTAATAAAATATAATTTTGGAAGTTATCAAAATTCATCCACTTTCAACATCAATAATTCCCACTATGTATGAGGATTATTTTGAGACAAAAAGATGTAACTTATGAGGTCATTGTCTCTCCATTTTGTCAATAGTCATAGTGCTCATCATAGAAAACTACCTTCTTTGAAACTTAGAGCACCCGCCGTCCCATTAAAATCTGTGTTAACTTTCACAAAGTTTTGAAATGTTTTTAATAGTAAAAAAAATGTATAGTTTTAAAATTTATTTTGGAAACCAACACTTTTTAAGTTACTGGATGACACCAACGTGTCAACCGCGGTGTGCGTCTAACATGGTCCGTGTTCCATTCTAATGTTCAACAAATCAAATAGACGATGTCTATCACAGAGAGCCAAACAACAGAATTGAGACTGCTAAATCAAAACCCCATATCAAAGGCCTTCGAAGAATCTCAAATGGTCATCGAACATCTCGGCGTGCCTGATTTTCGATAAGCGTCCATCCTCTTCGACCTATAAATGTGAAGTTAGCACGCACCGAAAGCATCTGAATGAACTAAAACTACAAAGGCAATAAGACTAGGAGCACGTTGTCTTCAATTTATTCTTTTTTAGTTCTTTTTACTTGTTCTTATTGGAATTAAATCAGAGACAACTTTAAATATATAACTACAATCAAATCAAATTAGAATTTAATCGAATCATATCAGAACTAGTTAGATAACTTGAAGAGAACAAGCACTAACACAAGATCCAAATGAGAATGTACCAAGTCAACCAAAAGCTCATGCTAATTGTTGCTATTCATTTTGTTAATGAACCAACTCAACCAAAAGTTCAACCTTGTGGTCGTCGACCTAGATTAGATTTTTATTTTTTTTGTCTAAAACAACCTCTCACATGCAGGCAGGATGCGTTTTTGCCCTCAAGCCATACGCGTGAAAAAATTATTTTTTAAAAAAAAATTGGATGGCAGTCAGATTCTAACTCGCGACCAAAAGTTCAAGCCTATTGTTGACTTGGTTCCATATAACACGTATAACCAAAGGTGAACAATTTTAGAACAAAGGTTAGGGGTACTAACCCAATACTCGGGAGGGCGCATCTTGAGATTGTAGGTTGATGCCATACTCATGCAGTAGGCACCCGCATCATGAACGACCAAGCCACAACCCTGCATTCAAAGCCCGTAATCAGTACGTAGTATGAGAATTTGAACAAAATCCAAAAGCCCGTATTAAAGAGATACCGAAACTTACTTTTGGAGGGGTTGGAAGTTCCCTATTCTTTCCCAAGAAATCTGCCGACTCACATACGGGACCCACAACATCAAATGTAGAAACCTTGGAGTCCGAGGGTGTGGGAGAAGCTAACTCTATGTGCTGCACCCAAAAAAAGAAGTAATGAACAATTGTCTACTAAATAAAAGCCTATGTCTCATAAATTGATTTGTATTTATATTACTCCCTCAGTCGTCTCAAAATATGGTGTGGGTCTCATTTACTTGATGTTTTTATTGACCATTTGACAAAATAAAATTATCAAACCATCTATTGCTTTGTAAAGTTTTATGTTATTTTTAAACATATAAATGTTATTTTTAATTGTACCCTATTCTTCAAATAGATTGAAATGAGATTAAATCTAGTCAGACATAGTATACTGCAACATGCATCTTATTTTGGAACAAAGGGAGTAACAAATATGACGGTAGAAATGGAGACAATTGGTTAGTATGAAGAAGTTATAATCAAAGATGTCATAACAAGGAGTAAAAATCATTTAATATAACAACTACCCCACTAGAATTCCACAGAAGTAGGGTCGCGAAAGGGTGTGTGTATGCAGGCCTTACCCTACTTGAACGTAGTAAAGAAATCGATTCCAAGAGACCCCGACACAAAAAAAAACAAAAATAGACTGAAGTAAATATAAGCAAACATAGTATCCTACAACAGTAAACAATTAAGGCCTAGAGGTCTATGCAACTAACCTAATCTTAGCTATCTGGGCTCAGGTCGTATCCTACAATAGTAAACAATTGTTCAATACGGAGTATAATCATCAAAGACATTTGTTTACCTGGTAAGCATCATAGAGACTCGGACGAATAAGCTCCGACATGCTACCGTCAATTACAATGAAGTTTTTTGTCCCGTTTGTTTTAACTCCAGTGACACGGTTCACCAAGCAGCATGTATTAGCAATAAGTGACCTTCCGGGTTCAATGATGAGATTCAGGTTTCTTGAAACAACCAATTCCCTGACCTATACAAGAAAAATAAGTATAAAAAAATTCAAATACTCCATCCTTCACATATTTATCTTGGAATTTTTATGATTTGCGATGAAGTGGAATTTGTGTGGTTGTGGTTTGTGTAGAGAAAAGAAAAATCATATAAATCACACGATCTTTTCCCTAAAAAGCAAGTGGAGGAAACTTTTGGGGCACCCCAAATACGAAAGTAGGAAAATGACAAATAGAGTGGTTTTCTGTTGAGAATAAAAGAAGAGAGAATTCTCACGGTATCTATCAGATCCCTGGGTGAAGGCAGGATGGCTCCAGAGTGATAATAATCAATCCCCAGCCCGCCACCAATGTTCAAGAAATCAATTTCAAATCCCTGAGCACGAATTTGGTCGATAAAGGCCACCATCAAGACTGCAGCGTCTCTGAATATATCTACCTGGAAATACAATAAAACTGGGGTTTACTCTCAAGAGAAATGTCAAGTTTTATTGCTTAGAAGATAAACATGAACCAACATGTATGCTTACTTTGGTTATGGTAGACCCAAGATGACAATGAGCTCCAACAAGCTTCAATTCCTTTGGATGCGCCTTTATAGCATCCAAGAACCATTGCAGCTTCTCATTTCTGATGCCAAATTTGGAATTTTTATTTCCCGTGGCAACATAAGGATGCACCTAAATGGAAAGCATATTATTGCAAACAAAAGAAAATCCATAAGTAGATGTGTGTGTGTGTGTGTGTGTGTGTGTGTGTATGGGAGTGTCTTAGAGAAAAAAATATTCAGAAGCAATTTGCGGGTAGCTTGTAATATCCATAAGTAGATATATATGGGAGTGTCTTAGAAAAATAATATTCAGAAGCAATATGCGAGTAGCTTAGCTACTAGTTTAAGGCTTGGAACGTCTGGAGATCTAGGACTAGAGTAATTGGATAGAGATTATGGGCCTTAGTTTGTAGTATATGCTCATGTGTCTTTGTCTTGGTTTGTAGCTGGTGCATGTGTACTTTGCGTGCTTTGGGTCATGTTACTAGTGTCGCTATGTGTGCTTCTTGTTTATAAGCTCTTACTCGGTGTGCTACAATGTTAGCTTTACTTTGTATGTGCTTCTATTTTTGAGTTGGGTGCCTCTTATAAACAACCTCTCCACTTCAGAGCAGGGGTAAGCTTTTAATAAACACAAACTCCCCAAACCTTATTGTTGTGGGATTTAATGGGTTTGATGATATTATTGTTCTTGTTGTTGAGGTTTAACTGGCTTTAAGGAGTAAAAAGCAAAAAAATAATTTTGTTCACCAAGCACCAAAGTTATAAAAGCTACTTTAAAAAAGAAAAAGGCAAACATTTAATTTTTTTTCTTTAAACACTCCCACTGTCATATCGACGGAAGCAGACAATATGTGAAGTCATTGTGTGCCTTGGTCATCAATACCTGGGGATCCACATCAGGGTTAATCCTCAGAAGCACATTAACCTTCTTCCCAGAAATCCTTGCTGCTTCAACAATATTTTCTAAATCAAATTCACTGTCAATGTTCACAAAAACACCCTCTTGGGCAGCTACCACCAGATCCTCCAAGATTTTTCCATTCCCATTAAAAATACACCTGTACTATAATAACATATTAATGCAATTCTCGCTAACACTAAAACACCACAAAATTGAAATGCAGACATAATAAATAATTAATACATATTTCAATCAAAATATTTTTAGCAGTTCACGACAATAACACTACCATATTACGGAGTAGTTTTTAAAGGATTTATATCATTATACGTTGTTGAGCCTATTTACATTTAAAATGGTTTAAAAATCTAGCTATCGTCTATGCTATACCCATAATGTAGTGCTTATTCAAATTTGAATGATATCAAATCCCCCCTACCCGCCTATGCTAATGTTGTGCTAACTAAATTCAAATTCAAGTGCTAAGCGTTTGTTCAGTCCGGCTAGCATGAGGAGCTTATTAAAGTATGC